ATTTAAATGCATGAAAATTAAATTAAATGATGAATAAACTGAAACGTGTCTTTGTCATAAACTACATCAGTTAAAAAGTGAAAGTGACAGTTCAATCTTTTAAAAACAGGTCAGAATTTTTTTTATCTTTGTTTCATTTCAAGTCATTCAGTTTTCAAACAATAAAATCTGTAAAAATCTGTTAAAGAAACAGAAAAGATCCACATCCAGGAGCATTTAACATGTAAATATCAGCTGAACAGGGAAAAATTTGGTTAAAATGAATCCAGAACAAATGATTTACTGAGCTAAATAAGTTTCTCTTTTAGTACAGGAAAAACATCAGCAAATATAAAAAACATTAATAGTCAAATATTTCCCACAGTGAATTGATGTAGCAGATTGTAATAATATTCCAGTTTTTTACTTTATTTTCCCTTGGATTTAATGTTTTTGACCACAAGTTGTATCTGTGAACACAGTTTAATTTACTCACAGTAAATTAAACTGTAATCCCAGTTAATTAACGGGCATTAATTAAAGTCACAGTTTATTTTACTGGTAGTAAATTAAACTGAGTTGAATGAATTTCAGTTTCACAGAACCGACTCGTCTTCATGGATCAGATCTCCGTTTCCTCCTCTGACTGCCTGCTGCTCTCTGCCTCTGTGAGACACAAATGAAGCTCAAATTATCTTCATATCTGTTTCCTCTCAAAATAAGAAAACTAAACTCATCAGGCGGCAGCAGCAGATTTATTTCTGTAGTCTAAACACGACTTTCTAAATAAACACTGAGGACCAACGAGCTGCAGCCTGTGGTTTATAGTTTAACCTGAAGGTAAAAATATTCTCCTCTGAGCTTCACAGACACAAAGATAATTATAAAACTGAACAAAATGTTAAATCAATGAGATCAATCAGTTTATGGGGTTCAAAGATATTAACTAAATATTTTATCCATACGCTGAATAAATGGCAAGAAATTCAAAAAAACAAGATAAACCCAGTCGAGCTGTTTGTCATAAAGATACTTTATGATGCAATAAATTTCTGTAAAACCAATAAAATGTTTTACTGCATCAAAGTTTGACACATTCCTGAAAGCTTCATATTTCTTCAGACATTAATAATTTACCTCTGAGACAAAATGTATAATTTCTATAATGATTGTTGTACATTTTAAAATAGTTAATTTACAGTAATACCTGTTTCGGTTCCTTTAGAATCTCCTGTTTGTTTTCCAGACACAAAATATTTTAATCCTGAAGATTCACAAGGAAAAACAAAAAGTTATGTTAATAAAATAAAATGTCTTTATTCAGATATTCAAATATTAAGTGCATCTTGATCAAATTAAGTTGGCCTAAAATATATTTTTTTTTTATCAAACTGTTTCATCATAAAACATAACAGCAGCAAATGCAAAACAAATAATGAATTTATTTGTCAAACCATCGATCTAAACCAACCTGATCTCTGCCAATCACCAAATATTTTACTTTTATTTGACATAAAGCAGGATAAAAGATCATAAAATAAAACAAATCATCCTTCCTCTAACATAACTTGGTCTTTAATATCTTTGCAAAATTATATCTTGAAAAGCAGAAACTTTTTTGAGGTGAGTTTTGCATGTGGAGTAAAATCATCAACCTGACTGTAAATGTGCTGGTTGAGTGACGGACTGGAGAAAAAGAGACGATTGAGACGGAACCAGAAAATACTAAAGCAGATCGTCTGGCCATCAGCTTGAGACGGGAAGATTTGACCTGTAAAAGTCTAAACTGTACAGTTTCTCTAAATGTGATTATTAGGTAGGAGGAGGTTTAGTTTATTCAGACTTTTCTAGGCTGGTTTGTCTGTTTTTCCTTTATATCATGTAACTGAGATAAACTGTGTTAATGATATCGATGGTTTGATAAGCTAAAACATTTTCTGTGTGCTAATAACAGACAGAGAAGGAAACAAACGTTCTTAGATTTGTGCTGTGATCAGAATAATGTTGCATATTCATACACAATGTGCAGTTTATATGGGTCCAATAACAGCATCATGGTGTTAAAATGAAGCAGGGCTGTCCTGACTTCAACCCCTTGTGACTTTGTAAATAATAATCCATTAAATAAAGTTCTTACTGGTTCGTCGTTTTCTCTTGTAGTGAATCAGAGCGATCACTGCAGACAACAAGGCCACCAGTAGAAACTTTGCTGTGGACTGAAGAATGAAGGTTTTACAGAGTTTGGACCGAACCAGAGGACTTTTTACAGACGGGCCTGAAAGAAACATTTCAGATGTTAGTAGACAAACAGATACAGACAAAGAACAAAAGAAAAGCAGAGAAAAAAAATAACTCACCTGTTATGGGAGGACTCTCTTCACTCGGTGCTGAATAGTAAATTTCAGATATTAAACTTTAAAACACCAACATGACACAATAAGAACCAAGACAAGCCAACCGACCTGTGAGTGTCTGGTGAACAGCCAACCAGCTCTCAGGAGATTCTCCGGCTCCAGAGATGCTGCACCTGTAGTTCCCTTCATCGGCCTTGGAGACGTTTCTGATGGTCATGTTGCTGCTGTAGCAGGTCATGAGATGGAGGCCATCTTTATAGAAATCTCTGATGTAACTCAGCTCAGTTTCTTTGTGGATACAAGGAAGCGTCACGTCTGATCCTTCAGCTACGGGTTGGACCGGAACCTCCAGGATCACCAGACCAGCTGAGAAACACATGAATGTTCACATCATTCATTAAACATGTTACTGATTTCATTTAATACATTTTATATTTTGCATGATTGTTGTAGATGAAGATTAAAGGTATTTTTAAAGTGTTGATTTTTTTAAATCACATTGACAGATTTTAGTCTTTTCCTGTTTTTTCTATTGTCTATAAACTAATTTTAATACAAACCTGTAATAGAAATGTTAATAGAATTGCTCGTTTCTCCTTCATCATTTTCACACCAGTATACTCCGCTGTGGATTTCTAAAGCCGGATCCAGAGTGCAGGAAGGTTCTGCTGAGCTGCAGGGGTCTGAAGAGTTTGTTGCTCTTTTTTCATTGAATTTCCTCTTTACTCTCCAGTCATTAACTCCGTCTAAATGCTCACATTGTACAGTTACTGTCTCATACTCAAAGAACTGAAGCCTCTCTGGAAAAACATGAGGAAAACCTGAATCAGAGCAGAAGAGAAGAAGGAAAGGAATGAGTGGAAATAAAAGAAATATAAGATAAATGAGCTGGAGGTCTTCATTTCTGCAGATCATAGAACAACTCAAAGGATCGAGTTACGTTCACCTTTAGGGATTAAAATCAAACGTCTGTGTTAAATAAACATCAGAACAAAGATCAGTTTAATTCTCACCGGTTCTGTGAACAGACCAGCTCTGCTCAGGTTGTGAAATCAGCAGCAGAAACAAGTTGATCCCTGAAAACAGACAAACATCCAGGATCAGAACGGACCGGCAGCTGGTTGATATGAACTGTACTTACAGAAAGATGAAACCTCCATGGCCGACGCCTGATGCTGACTGAACTGTCTGACACCGACGTCTGGGTCATACGGGTCAGAACTTCCTCTTCCTGTCTGCTTTGTTTCTGGGGCTGAATAAAGCTGCAGGTTAAAGTCGAACATCTAGAAATAAACGCAGAGACACAAACTGACAAACTAAAAACAAAGACTGATGGAGGTTTGATGCACCTGAGACTGATGAGTTATTTTAGATGATCTATTTGTTCATTCAGTCTCTGACTGAAAGNTTCAGATATTCAAATATTAAGTGCATCTTGATCAAATTTAGATAGTCGGCCTAAAATGTTTTGTTTTTTTTATCAAACTGAAAGCATCAAACTGTTTCATCATAAAACATAACAGCAGCAAATGCAAAACAAATAATGAATTTATTTGTCAAACCATCGATCTAAACCAACCTGATCTCTGCCAATCACCAAATATTTTACATTTCTTTGACATAAACCAGAATAAAAGATCGTAAAATAAAAAAAAATCATCCTTCCTCTAACATAACTTGGTCTTTAATATCTTTGCAAAATTATATCTTGAAAAGCAGAAACTTTTTTGAGGTGAGTTTTGCATGTGGAGTAAAATCATCAACCTGACTGTAAATGTGCTGGTTGAGTGACGGACTGGAGAAAAAGAGACGATTGAGACGGAACCAGAAAATCCTAAAGCAGGTCGTCTGGCCATCAGCTTGAGACGGGAAGATTTGACTTGAGAAAAGTCTAAACTGTCTAAACTGTACAGTTTCTCTAAATGTGATTATTAGGTAGGAGGAGGTTTAGTTTATTCAGACTTTTCTAGGCTGGTTTGTCTGTTTTTCCTTTATATCATGTAACTGAGATAAACTGTGTTAATGATATCGATGGTTTGATAAGCTAAAACATTTTCTGTGTGCTAATAACAGACAGAGAAGGAAACAAACGTTCTTAGATTTGTGCTGTGATCAGAATAATGTTGCATATTCATACACAATGTNTATTAGGTAGGAGGAGATTTACTTTATTCAGACTTTTCTAGGCTGGTTTGTCTGTTTGTCCTTTATATCATGTAACTGAGAAACTGTGTTGATGATATTATTGGTTTGATATTATTGGTTTGAAACATTTTACATGAGTCCAATAACAGCATCATGGTGTAAAAAGGAAGCGGCTCTGTCCTGACTTACTGTAACTTTATAAGTTATAGTCCATTAAATAACGTCAGTACATAGAAGATTAATTGTGAAGCATCTTACTGGTTCGTCGTTTTCTCTTGTAGTGAATCAGAGCGATCACTGCAGACAACAAGGCCACCAGTAGAAACTTTGCTGTGGACTGAAGAATGAAGGTTTTACAGGGTTTGGACCGAAGCAAAGGAACCAGAGGACTTTTTACAGACGGGCCTGAAAGAAACATTTCAGATGTTAGTAGACAAACAGATACAGACAAAGAACAAAAGAAAAGCAGACAAACAGAATAACTCACCTGTTATGGGAGGACTCGCTTCACTCGGTGCTGAAAAGTAAATTTCAGATATTAAACTTTAAATCACCAACATGACACAATAAGAACCAAGACAAGCCAACCAACCTGTGAGTGTCTGGTGAACAGCCAACCAGCTCTCAGGAGATTCTCCGGCTCCAGAGATGCTGCACCTGTAGTTCCCTTCATCGGCCTTGGAGACGTTTCTGATGGTCATGTTGCTGCTGTAGCAGGTCATGAGATGGAGGCCATCTTTATAGAAATCTCTGATGTGACTCAGCTCAGTTTGCTGGTGAATACATCGAAGCGTCACGTCTGATCCTTCTGCTACCGTCTGGATCGGCGTTCCCAAAATCACCAAACCAACTAAGAAATACATAGAAATATGTTTAAAAATCTTTTAATTTAAAAATTTTTTAGAGGAGACTTTGTGTCACAAAGGTTTTTTGGCAGCAGTTGGTTAAAGCAGTTAACAGTTGAATTTTTAATTTGTTTTAAAATAATTTTCTTGATACATTTCCTGTTCTTTTGCTACTTCTACTATTTCCTATAAAACATAATTTTAATGCATACCTCTAATAGAAATGTTGACAGAATTGCTCTTTTCTCCTTCATCATTTTCACACCAGTATACTCCGCTGTGGATTTCTAAAGCCGGATCCAGAGTGCAGGAAGGTTCTGCTGAGCTGCAGGGGTCTGAAGAGTTTGTTGCTCTTTTTTCATTGAATTTCCTCTTTACTCTCCAGTCATTAACTCCGTCTAAATGCTCACATTGTACAGTTACTGTCTCATACTCAAAGAACTGAAGCCTCTCTGGAAAAACATGAGGAAAACCTGAATCAGAGCAGAAGAGAAGAAGGAAAGGAATCAGTGGAAATAAAATAAATATAGGATAAATGAGCTGTAGGTCTTCATGTCTGCAGATCATAGAACGACTCAAATGATCAAATCAGGTTCACCTTTAGGGATTAAAATCAAACGTCTGCGTTACATAAACATCAGAACAAAGATCAGTTTAACTCTCACCGGTTCTGTGAACAGACCAGCTCTGCTCAGGTTGTGAAATCAGCAGCAGAAACAAGTTGATCCCTGAAAACAGACAAACATCCAGGATCAGAACGGACCGGCAGCTGGTTGATATGAACTGGTACTTACAGAAAGATGAAACCTCCATGACCGCCTGATGCTGACTGAACTGTCTGACACCGACGTCTGGGTCATACGGGTCAGAACTTCCTCTTCCTGTCTGCTTTGTTTCTGGGGCTGAATAAAGCTGCAGGTTAAAGTTGAAGATCTAGAAATAAACGCAGAGACACAAACTGACAAACTAAAAACAAAGACTGATGGAGGTTTGATGCACCTGAGACTGATGAGTTATTTTAGATGATCTATTTGTTCATTCAGTCTCTGACTGAAAGCTGCAACATGCAGACAGCATTTGACTATTTAGTTGTTCCACAAGCAATTTTCAAACACAAAAAATGTAAAACATTGTGAATTCTACTGCAAAATCATTTAATTAAAAAAATAGCAACAACAAAATCTGATTTAGTTTTTCAAAATAAAGAAATATTACTGAATAAATAATAAATAAGACGCTATGTGGTGCAAAGTGAACTGTGCCTGTCTGAGAGAAAAAAATGTGATCATTGACACCTGAGCTGTGGAAAGTTTGCCCAGCATAAAATGTTTGAAAATCTGTGATAGGAGAGCAACACGGAGCTGTTGCTGCTGCAGCTGCTGCAGCTTCTGCTGCTGCTTCTGCTGCAGCTGCTTCCTAAAGCCATGAAAAGCCCTGAACCGCCACCATGTGCTCATCACTAACATGATTCTAACTGCATCACTTGCACTTTGTCTTGCTGTAACACTCAGTGCAAGTGAGAACTACAACATAAAAGACAATCACATCATCAATTAGTAATAAAAATAAATTAAACACTTGGTGTCTATCCACAGCCTGAAGAGTCGACAGCAGCTTCTCTAGTAGCTGATGCTCCTTTTTCCTCTCCAGGATGAAAAGACTGCGACACTGATTGTGGCTCTTTGCTCTCATTCCAGAGGTTGAGAGGATGTAGCATAAAAATAGTCTGGTTAAAAAGGAGGTAAAAGGTTTATTATGAGAAACCTCAGAAAAATTATGACAGGATGTGCAACTCAAACCAATAACCAATCGAGATGTATCAAAGTTTTCTGGGTGAAGTGAGTGAAATGTAACTACTGACAAGTCCAAACAAGTTTCAACAGCAGAGCGAGAAGAATCTTACTGAGAACTCATTGGACAGAGACTGTCCATCAGTCTAACCAGCTGCTGTGATTGGTCTGGTGTCCACAGCTGGACCAATAGGCTTTCAGCAGGAAACAACAGCTCTCAGCAACCAATCATCTGTCAGTTTCTGCTCAAACCTGCAGGAGGAGAGGCTGACCCACTTCTGAGGTCAGAGGTCATAACAATCCATGAAGAACTAACAGGATGTTGTTCTCTGTGTTACTATAAATCAGCTATTAAAACGTTTCTGCATTAGCATTTCAGCTGAATAGATTCAGTGTTGCAACAGAAAATGTTTGAGGGGGTTTGATTAGAAACTGATTAAAATGAAAAGTAAAACTGTTCTTATAAGAACAAAACCACGCCTGTAATTTATTGGCCCTTCGTTCTGATCTTTGGCCCTCGGAGTTGACAGAGAAGAAAGGAGCCACTAAAAGGTAGGTCTGTTCTCTCTAACGTCATTTCTTTACAATTTAAGACTTGTTTTATTTTTAAATTCATATAAAATTTGCAGCACATGGAAAGTCAAATAAATGTATCTTTTGTAGACCTGGTGATCAGTAGTGATTACACAATAACTCAGTCTGTCATATATTCATAATGTCTGATACGGTGAGATGATGGCAGCAGGAGGAAAAAACAGGATTTGGCTTGGAAACGGTTTTACTCTACATAATAAATAAATGGGTTAAACAGTTTAATCTTCGTAATGATGAAACTTTTCTGTCTTTTCCTCTTTATCTGTCACCTTTTTGCCTTCAGGATGGCTCACATACCACAAAGGTTATCTTTAAAACCTTTCTTTGCTGAACTCATGTTTGGCTTCATTCTCCTGGTTGACAGCTGCAAAGGTAACTAACAAACATGGTAACAGCTCTGGCTGCTGAGAGAAAAAGTTAATAAAGAGATGGAATTAATTTATATTTATTAATTAAGAGCATTGATAATTAAAATCTCTGATGGAGGCAGTGACAAAGTGTTGCATTCCTTTCCAGGTCAGTCCCTGCAGACGGAGCGTCCTCGGCTCGTTGCAGCGATGCTCGGTGATGACGTGGTTCTACCGTGTCACCTGGGAGGTTCTGTGAACCCCGATGAGTTGGTGCTGGAATGGGGGAGACTGGACCTGAACCCCAGATTTGTGTTCATGTGGTTTGAAGGGAGTGAAAATGTAAATGAAAAAAACACGGCCTACAAGGGAAGAACGTCTCTGTTCACAGACAGACTGAAAGACGGAGACGTTTCTCTGAGACTGACGGCAGTAAAACACTCTGACAACGGGAGATTCAGATGCTACAACCCAAAAGAGATGAAAGCAGATTCAGTCGACCTGCTTGTTGGTAGGAAAACACAAAGCAGTATTTTCTATTTTATTTCTTAGTTTTTTGGTCCAGGATGTGATAATTATTGTCCTGATCTTTTATGATCATTTAGCATCTGTTTTTAGCTCTATGTTGTACTAAAGTAAGAGTAGCACTACTTCAAAATATTTTTTTTTCTAAGTAAAAAGTAGCTTTCCAAGAAATTACTTGAGTAAAAAACGATATGGAAAAATTTTACTCAAGTACAGAGTGACTGATTGTAAATCTAATTTAATATTTCTAAATGATGCAATCAGCCAAAATATAAAGTTACATTCAAAGTTTGGTGTATTAAAGACTAAAATGAAAGGATTACAAAATAACAGATTCAGGAAAATAAACACTTTTTAAATATAGATTTATTTTACAATTAAACTAAAAAAACTGTATTTACAGGAAATGTGTATATGTGAGAATAGGTTAACATACATTTAGTGTATATTGTGTCTTATTGATCTTCAAATAACTAACTCTGTTAAACTGGTGTTAATAATTTACTTACACATGTAAAATGTGTTTTAGTCTATATTCTGCCTCCTGCTGGCTGAAAGTGGTACCTACAGCATTTATAGTTTTTTTTTTTATTATTATATGCTCACACAAGGATTATATTTGCTAAAATTACTCAGAGATTCCTTTAAACATGGCCAAAGAGACAGGAGCTAAGAAAGTATAAGGCATAATTACTCTGTTTTCCCACATTTGGAGTTAAAACTAGAGTCTAGATTAAATTGGTTTTAAAACATGTTCCTATGAGCTGTCATCCTGCATATAAGGAAATAATGTGAAATCTCTGCTCTCTGACCATCAGGCTCCGCCTCCTCACCTGGTGCCAGTTTATCTGGACTGGATGTCAGCAGCAGTGGAGTGATGCTGGACTGCAGCGCTGCAGGCTGGTATCCAGAACCTGAGATGTTCTGGCTGGACGGAGACGGAAACATCATGTCTGCTGGAGCTGCAGAGAAAAGCACAGATCCTGATGGTGTTTACACTGTTAGCAGCAGAGTGACTGTAGAGAAGAGAAACAACAACAACTTTACCTGCAGAGTCCAGCAGAGAGACATCAACCAGAGCAGAGAGACACACATTCATGTTCCAGGTGGGAGAATAAAACACTTTAAACACTTTAGTTATTTCACTAACGGTTCTGTTTGGTCGTGTTTCAGATGATTTCTTCATCAATGAGAGCAGCTGCTCCGTTTCTATCAGCTTCAATGTCATTTTAGTCGTCATGGTTGTTCTTGGAGTCGCTTTTATTATTTGGATGAAGAAACAAAACAAAAAGGGTGAGTGTCTTCTATCAGGAAGATTTCAGAAAATTTCATTCATCATAACCTTCACCTTGTTTCTACAGTAAAGAAGTTAAAGAAAATCAGTGAAGAGCAAATGAAGCTCATTCCAGCAGCAAGACTGGAGGAGGAGCTAGAAAAAAGAAACAAGGATCAGAAAATCATTGATCAGCAGATTAAATCACTAACAGAGATGTTAGAGGAACTGAAGGAGCAGAAAAAACAACTTACTGATCAAATGGAGGAGGCAGATAAAATGATTGAGGAGGATGAGAAGAAGTTTAAGGCTGTTGATGATGAAGTAACAAACCAGACGGGGAACATGATAGAAAAAAAAGCACAAGGATATTTAAAACTGAAGGGAATGATAACAGAGAGTCGAGAGAAACTGGTACAGAGAAAGAAAGATCATCAAAAGGTCGGATTTATCACAGATAAACTGATAAAAAGAACAAATGATGAAATTAACAAGCTGGAGGAGAGAAAACAGGAGATAGAAAACCATGTAAAGAAAATACAAAAACAACTTGATGAAAAGGAAACTTAGAAGTAATTCATGTTCAGAAAAAGAAAAGCAAAACTTTGTAAAAACTTTGTAATATTTTGTTGTCATAATTCTTAGTGACTAAAATTTGATACATTATCAACATCGATTCTGTTTTGTTTACTGATGTTTTTATGGATTACAGATTAACCATAGTCTGAATGTTCAGCACAGCCTGATTATCATAATTAATATGTAAAAGCAATGGCAGAAACCACTCATCATTTAAAATATATAGTGAAATATTATTATTTATTTGGTTCTTCACATTAGATTTAAATGATCCGGATGCGCCATAACCAACCATAAATGGATCCATAACATTTTTTATTTCATTTAATTCAACATGCATTATTAATTGACACAGTGTAACTGTCTCCTTCCTCATTTTAATTTATGTAGAATAAATCATAAACAGGATTACCAGAAATAAAAGGTTAAATTTGGGGAAGTTGAAACTCCTTGAAATTTAATCAACAGTGTTTGATAGTTGAAAGTTTAGTTTTTACCAGTATCTGTACTTAATATTGTAAAGTAGATCTGAATGTAAGAAATATGCATTAAAAGATCAAATCAAACACTTTCAGATCCTCACACAGATTATGACAATAACTACATATTGATGATGATCAGCAAATGAAATACAGTGAAATACTGTTTACTTTTAAAGTTCATAATGTGTCATATTAGAACTGATTCATCTTAAATTTATTGGGAATTAAATGATCCAGAGTAGAAAAGATGGAACATTTTACACAATGAATTATTAAAATGTCCTTTTTTCACATTTCATTAAAAACGTGAAAAAAAAAATTCTCACAAACTTAAAATTAATCCCCAGATATTTTTCAGTCATTGTTTATTTACACTTACTAATTAGATTGGAGAAAGAATCAATTACAGTGATTAAAATGCTTTCATGGCAGAGGACTATGAAACTGTATATTTTACATAAAAATCTATTGTTTTTGTTGATGTTCTGTTTAAATGTCTGATTGTTTTTCTCCCAAAACTGTAGAAGCTTCATAAACCAAATTCAGATCAGGACTGACTCGTCTTTATGGAAAAACAGAAATCATCTCACCTGTTTCCATAACCTCTGGTTACGATCACTGTGCACTGGAAAAAATGTTAAATGAAATATATGTTCTAAAACACATTTTGCACAATAAAACCTTTTTTATTTCAATATTTTTATTTAAGCAAAGAAAACAAAAATCCCATTAGCCCAAACAGAAAAAACTAAACCAAAGAAATCAATTGAAGCACATGACACACGTTAACCAATACATGCATTTTGCATATTTATGTAATGGAGAAAAGTTAATCTAAGTAACAAAACAGCATCCTAAAAAAGAATAATAAAGGCTCAGTATTATGTCACTCCAAACTAGAGCTCTTCTCGGCCCTCGTTTTTCCCAGATCGAGCCTCTGCGTTAATATTCGCAGCGGCCCTGATTGCAGATTTCATCGACGCTTCGATCCAGCCATGAGGGAAGGCGGCGTGTTCGCCAGCAAAGTGAATCCGGCCTTCGCTCCTGAACAGCTCGTTGGCGTAGTCCAAGTGCTGATACGGAGTGAAGAGAGCGAAGGCCCCCAGGCTGTAAGGATCCAGGCTCCACTTCTTCACCAGGATGCCGGTGCAGAGATCCCGGACGATCTCACCGTGGATCTCAGACAAATCTCTCAGAAGAACCTCCTTCAGCTGCTCATCACTGGCCCCGAGGAAGAGCAGCGAGTCGTCAGACCAGGTGTAGGAGGCCAGGATGACGCCGATGGTGTGATTCTTTGGGAAGCTGTAGCTCTGGTAGTAGATGAACCGAGAGGGTCGGTCTGTGATGCTCTTACCCCCTTTGATCCCGTCCTTCTCCCAGAACTTTTGGCTGAACGTCAGCGTGATTCTGGTGGCGCTGTCGTAGTGGACCGTCCTCAGGGCCTCCATCTTTTGTACAGAAAGAGGCGGAAGGAACTCCATGAAAAGAGCTGCCTTGGCCGTGGTTGTGACCAGGACGGCGTCAGCAGAGACGTTTGTAGGACCGTCTGACTGGTTTCTCTGGTACTGGACAATGACTCCGTCCTCTGATTGGATGATACGCTGAACCGTAGAGTTCAGATGAATGGCTTGATTGAGAGGGAGAGCGATGGCGTTGGGGAGACTATCAGTGCCATCAGTCAGCTCAAAGTACCTTCACATGTAGGAGAAATAAGCTGCTGTTATTACATGCATTCATGCTACAAGCACATCATCAGTAATATTAAATGTCAGTTCATCTCAGATCCAACAGGTTTACAGACAGAGCTGCAGTTCTAGTTCTCCTGTGTTTAAAGCTTCTTCCTGGCCTCACCTGACCGTGTCGTTGACGTCGGACTGGTCATAGACCATCTCGCTCAGCGCCGTGTACATCAGGCTCTGCTCGTTCAGCAGGTCTCCAATCATTCTGATGGCTCCGTCGCTCAGACGTCCAACTTCTTTCAGATACTCCTGATAAACAAACATGTTTACAACTGAAGTTTGATTTGTGCTTCTAATTCTTTAACTAGAGGCAAATCAGCCTTTACCTCCAGTTCTTATTTAAATGAAGCTTTACACCAGAACCTTGTAGCTGTAAATGACTGATGCAGGTACATGTCACATGAAAAACATGTTTTTGTCTGTAATTTATTCCCTACATGACATCATAACACTTCAGGCAGAAAAACAAGAGTCACTCATATTTCACAGCAGCATTGTCTGTTGCTTTATGCCAATTATTAAAACATGTTGTACTTTACCTTTACAGAATAATGGTCATATTTTTGCAGTGCGCACTTGCAGCCATATTTTTCAACTTCCATCCTAACCTACAAAAAACAAAATAAATATTTATTTAACAGAAGAAATGTTTAAACTATTAACTTTTAAAGTCATTCCCCGTCCGTTACGACTGTCTAAGAATCACATCCGTACCTGAGAACATTTAGAAAGTAACAAACTCCAGCTGTGATTCTTTGTCTTCATTCCACCCTTATTTTGTTTCCCACTCACCGGAGTCAAAGCCTGCTGCAGCAGCTCCTCGGCTGACTTGCCCTTCTCGCTCTCGTACACGTTGTACTGCAGAACGTCGGGGTTTTCTTTCACCTCATAGTTCCTTCTCTTCACCCCGTTGACCAGGTAGTATGTGTTGTTGTCATCCATGATGAAATCCCTGCGCTTCACCCCCAGATTGTCAGCAAATGTGCGGACAATTCTATGGAGAGATAATTGTTAGAAACGATGTCAGCTCATGGTTTCAGATGTGTTGTTTTAAAACTCAGTCAAGTTCAGATGTGAAACTTACTGATGGAAACCTGGGATCCTCATGGCCCCGATTTCTGCGTGCCAGCCCTCCTGGTGATTCCTGAACGTTTCCACTCGTCCACCAACACGATTGTTAGCTTCTATGATGGTGACCTTTTTTATTAAAAATTACAGAAAGAAAAAGATTTATAGTAACATTGTGTGCTAGAAGCAGAAATTGGGTCTAAAATCAAACAAACATTACATCCACCAGAGAGCAGGAGCTTCGTTGTTACTGAGTTTGTCCAAAATGTTATAATTGTACCTCATGTCCTGCATCCTGCAGGAGTTTTCCTGCTGTCAGGCCAGCCATCCCAGCTCCAACAATAACAACATGGTGAGGTTTCTGTGTCTTTGGGAGGCCGTGTTCTGCTATGCGCACCAGCTCATCGTAGTCTTTGTCCTTCAAACAGTCGGTCAGTTTATCTTTCAGGCTGGCAGCAGAGGAACAGCTTTGGTGCAGCAGCAGCAGCATCAAGCCAAAGACAACTGGTGACACAAAACAGGGAAGAAAGAGGAAATTAAAACTGTAAAATGTGTCGTACAGATCACTGATGATTAGATAATACTTCATCAATATAATAGGTAATAAAACCTACAGCCTTTTCTAGAAAGAAAAATAAAATCAGATGCAAATAGAAGCTCATGTTGAAAGGTTTGAATCGTCTTTCCAGAGATCCACTAAAAAATTCACATTTTAGTTTTTAGAAACATTAAATGCATGAAACCTGAGATCAAAAAATAACAATAAATACCAAGCAAATACTCACATAGAGATGTTTTTACAAGTGGTGGATCCATTTTTTTATCTTCTCTGAAATAATATAAACACATAAAACTTGTCAATCAACTGGTTTTGAGTTATTTTCTGGTACATTTTAATTTGTAAATTGTGATTAATTTTAACTGTATCACATCATATGTGAATTTATTTCTCCATTTACAGCTGATTCATCTCAACTGAAAACTTTTACTGCATGCAATAAAGCGAAGATTTAAAATTGAAAGACAATAGTTCAATATTTTTACTTTGCTTATTTTATTATCTTTAATTCATTTGAGAAAACAGCACAAAATAATGATTTTTGATATTACATTTTCAACATAACATTCCTGATTAACTGTAATTCATGAATCAGTTCTTACCTTGGAGCTGTTACCTCTTTGTGTTACCTGCAGAGGCGTCTGTCCCTTTAAATGCTGCAACGTTGGTGAAAATAAGTTGTCTTGTTTATTATAATGAGTTGGAACAAAGGCGTTTCTTTCCCTGGAATCTCTGCTGACTTTTACTGAGAAAACAAAGAACCGTCACTGCAGTAAGATTCCCTGGAAAGCTCTTTGTTTTGTTTATTTAGCTTAGCATTTTTATAATAAACAATTATTTGAATTATTAATTCATATTTTTGACTAATATTTTCACTCTTGTCTAACTAAATGTTTATTTCCATTTCTGCAGTTTATAACTGTTCTAGACTTGAACTAGAAAACCTGCCAACATTCAGTCATTTCCTCAGAAACATTCAGGTTTTGAGAGCCATGAGACTTCGGAGTGTCAGTTCACTGAGACTCACCGACTCATGGAGCTGCAAATGTTTCAAGAGTTGGAAAAATGAAAAAGAGTCTTTAAATTTTATCAGTGAATTCATATGCAGACATTCACAATTACTGCATCTGTCTTTAGCTTTAGAGACAAATCTGGAAAATAAAAAGGAAAAGTTCCTGTCAGAATCTTAAGTTGTTTTATTTGTTTATTCTTTCTGGATTGATAGTTTTATTTATTTATTGCCTGAGTTTATTATCTTTGCTTTGATTAGCTCAGCATTGGATCCTTCTGTTCTTAGTTATTTTATGTTTATTATTTATTTCCTGTGTTTAGGAATTAAATAAGATTTTAGCTTGAAGTTTTATTCAAGTTGGAGGGATTTTAGTTTCCTCCTTCCTCCTCCTGTATGCTGTCTCTGTCTCCCTTTGCCTGAACTGTAAAAAAATTAATTAATTAATTAAAAAAGTGTTTTATTTACAGTAAAATACTGGCAGCTGTGATTGCCAAAATTTTACAGCATTTATTTTGGTGAAATTCTGACAACAGCTGCTGGTATTTTATACCATAAATTAGAAACTCTCTGTTTTTTTATTATTTTTCTAAACAGTGTGAGTTGAACGCTGCTCTAACCTCACACCTGCACTTTATTTTTAAATTAGCAGCAATTCATTGTTACAGTTTTCAAACTCCCAGTATTGAACCGCCTCTCTCCTTATTAGAGCACACACAGGGTCAGTACGACCCAGCTGGACTGCGCACAGAGTAAAAAACTTGTGGGGTCTAAATGACCCCGCCTCTGTGGGAGGGTTAATGAAAACACACCAATTTAAAAAAAACAAAGCTTTGTGCTTGGATGAGGTGGCTTTTCAACGGCTAATTGGTCCATTTCACAAAGCTGCAAACTAATGTGAGGTTATGATGTCCTCTAGCAAAATCCATCACTGGAAGTTATTTATTTATTTATTAAGACTTTTTTTCTTTTAACAAATATAAAAGTTCATCCAAAGAACTCCAAGAAACATCAACCTTTTAATTGCACTTTTTATTTTTGCACAGACTTGGAAAAAGGATAAAGTCAAACGCCCCACCGTCTCTTCTTCATGTTGTTTTAGAGACACTGCAGAAACCCTGCAGACCAAGAGATAAAAATGAATCTAGCAATGGCTTATTTAAAAGAAAATATGCTAAATGAATAAAGCTAATTATTTTTATTTGATGTTTGATTATTGGATGATTTGGAAATCTTTGGTTTGTACAAGTGAGGCTGAGCACTGCTGCAAAAACAGCTTGGGAACCACGATAGTTTAATGCCCAGAACTTTTCTGATCATCGGTTGTTGAGTCAAGTTTTGGCTCTGGCCCTTTAAGAGGGAGGAGAAAAAACACATCAACCTAAAGGATGATGACATTTCTGCTTTTACAGCTGCGGGGTGTGCGACTAATTATTAACGCTTTTATAGCAGCTTTGGAAGCACTCTTTATTTTATTTATACCATAATTTTGGTATTATTATTATTATTGTTATTATGGGTAGTAATAGATTCATTTAATTGATTGGCATGTATTATTAGACATGTAGCTTTTCAAATCATAGGGCTGGTGAAGCACAAACTATTGATTTTAGGTTGTAGTATTTTACATATATGTGAAAGTAGCTTGGATTTTA